TGAGTTTTTACATTTCTTACATTAATGTGAATAACAAAATACAAAAACTAACTATAATTTCACCATTTATGTCTTGTGCATTAATTTTATTGAACAATTAATTAAATAAGATTTTCCTAATTCATGTTCTTATGGGACAAGTTAATGGTGCATTTAATGCACTTTTGACATTAAGTTTTATAAAAAAAAATACAAAAGCTAATTACAATTTTACCACCAATGCCATGTGAATTGTTTTAATTGATTTTTTTTTCTTTACATATCAAATTATAGGCTATACAACAAAAAATAATATTTCCTTTTTAAAACTCTCTTCACCTATTTTAATATTTGAATTTGAAATCTTTAATATAGAAATTCAAGCTCTTAATTACTAAAATGTCTCTTAAAAGACTTTTGTTGCTGGGAATTGAACCTAAGTTTAGGTGAAAGGTAGACATCTTAATCGCTTGACGACAATAGAGTCGTGGTTTTAATTGGTTAGTTAAATAAATAAATGTCAATTTTATTTTTTTAATACTAATTAATGTAAAAAACTTATTACATTAATTATATCTTTAAGATATTTGTTAGGAAAATTCTATTTCCTCTTCATTTCTATTTCTTTCTCCTTTCTTGACATGTTGAGGTTGTTTGATTTAATAGTTTAAAACTAATGATTAGTGATTTTATTTAATTTATTGATTGATAATTGTTATTATTAATAATTTAAATATTTTTATTTGTTAGAATTAATAAAATCATTAATTGCTAATTTTAAATTGTTATTTCAAATAGCCTCGTTTCATCTTCTTCCATCGGCCTTGGGAGCGACAGATTGGCATCAAAAGTTTTTGACCTTGGAAGTTCCCTTCGTGTGAAGTTTAGGAGGTTAATGAACTCATATTGTTTGTTAGAAGGCCAAAACACTCAAAGACAATAAATTTGAGGGTTCTTAGGTAGGGGATTAAGCTTTCTCAATTCGGCTCCCCAATAACATTCTTTTCGTTGCAATAACAGGATGGGGCCGTCTCATGCAGGCTTAATCCCCCCAGCCCCGCCAACTTCTTGTCTTTTGGGTGTTAGCCCCCAACACACAATATATCGTTTTTGACACTCTAAGTCCTATAATTTAGAAAAATTGCCCTAATATAACGGTAGCGTCCACGTTGGCGTACCTCTTTGTAAACCCAAGACCAGTCTCAATGCCAGCTCAGCAAAAATGGACCAGTTATGTTGCCTACTTAGCTATTCTGGTCTCACCATAATAGCTACGTAGACAAATTAAGGATCAACATACGTAAATAATTTTTTTTTTTTTAACAAGGGTAATAGTTAAGAAGTTGGTAGAGTTAGTTGTTAACAACTGGGACTTTTCAGAATGGTGAACAATCTACCCCTCAGAAGAGGTGCGCGATTGTTAGATCGCAAATTGGTGGAGTTTACAGCGGTGGCAGAGTTCGAAGCCTTGACCTCCACCTCACCCAAACTTTAAAACTTGGGGGTCAACTATTGAGTCACGAGCTCTGTTGGCAACATACATAAATAATTTAAGAAAATGCTTTTTGTATCATATTAAAATAATTAATTTTTTTAATTTATATGAGATTTATAATATTAAATGTATTTATTTATTTAATAACATATAAAAATTATATAAAAAAATAAAATAAAAAAATTATCGTTATAGCACCACCTTATAATTTATTAAAATATTAAAATGTTATTAAAATAAATGAATTTACATTTCGACCCTTGTCTTCTTCATTCTTCCCTCACCCACTTCCCGCTCGTCGATGCACCCTGGAATTGGAGGACTGTGTTCCCAGTCGAACCAGGCCGCCCGATTGGTAGGTTTTTTTTTTTTTTTTTTTTATTTCAATTCATGTAATTCTTGGTCATGTGCTTTAACTTGATTCTTTCAAAGATTTGTAATTCTAGTTTAATGGGTAACTTATTCACAATGTTTAATTGCCTTTAGAGCCTACGTTCCGCTTCGATTTGGTGATTTTATTCAACAACCTGAAAACCAAATCTTGTTTTTGTAATTTAATCTATCAATAGATTTGAGAGAAATCAGTGTCTGGGGTTTGTATATATAAGGGTTTTGAATAAGTGGACGTCTTTAATTAATTTTTTTATTTTATTTTTAAGCATATTTTTTTTATGAATAATTAAAAATAGCATAATTTTACATAATAAATTACATTCAATTCTTTTCGTCATATAAATTACGAAAATTAATTTTTTTTAATGTTTCTATAAAAGTTTATAATTTTGTTTAATATCTGTATTATTTAGACGATGCTCTCAAAGCGGAGTTTGGGACTTATTTAAGTGATGGGACGTCTTGCGCATGGGGAGCCATGGGAGGGAGTTTTCCCACCGCTATTGGTCCAGCTTGGACCATCTTCTTCCAGCGTGGAGATGACGAGGCACCGACTAGTGACTAGGCATGGGTTAACTTTGTGATTGGCAGCCGTCAATTTTGATTCAATCTTCCATGTAATTTAAGGGCTGACTTACAAACATTGTATTTTGGGGGCTAACACGCTAAAAGACAAGAAGTTGGAGGGGCTGGGGGATTAAGTCTCTCATTCATCTTTCTAAAAATGTCTTCTAGGGAAGGTGATGCTAGGAGAAGAAAACATGGAAAGTTGACGTGAAAATCAACTCTAGTATATGGAATATAGATAAATATATAATTTCTCTACACGTTGCCCACTCACAAATGGAAGACTAGTGGCTTGTTTTATTTATTTGTTAATTCTTTTTCAAAGGTTGTTTGTTCTTTTCAGTTTCTAACCGGCCGAAGCAGGGAGGTTTAGTTTGTGTTCTCTTTAAGGCACACATGTACATTTGTTGCCGACGTTTTGATTTTTGCCCACAGAGTTGTTAGTCTGTTCCAAGGAAACATGGGTTGTTGGCTACTTTTATTACAGTCAATTTTTTCTTTCTTTTATTTACTTTAGGTGGATTGCATTCTATTGTACAAAGACGTGGGATCAAATTGCCTGATGATCATAATTTCACATCTTGCAGCAGCAATGATTTTTATTGAGAGGCAAACACAAAAAAGTACACTGTTTAACTGTTTACCATTTCTTTGTCACAATATGGTTTACACTTTACAGTGTCCATTGTGTATGCCTGACACACTCTTCCACAGCAATATATCAAACTATATTAGAATGGTTGAACAATTTAAACCTCAATTATGCTTTAACAGGATATAAGTTCTACGGACTTGAACAATCTAAAATCCAAATTAATTTAAGCACTTGTAAAATTCCCAATCAAGAAGTTCCCAGGGCCAAAATCAAGATGATTTGCAGAGCTTCCCATTTTTAAATCTCTATTCAGCCAATAATCAAAGCTCAAAATTGAGTGGATAGAGATCTACTTGTAGATGAAGAAGAGACAAGTGGCAAAGATTCTATTGATGTACTTTGTGTCTGGTTCTCATGACTACTTTCTTCTTCAAGAGTTTGATAGAACTTCACCGATTCAATATATGTACCAGTGTTGGGACTCAACTCATCAACAACAATCTTCCCCTCAAGCATGCTCACTACAGACGACATAATAGGCCTAGCAGTTGGAGTAGGGCTAGTGCATAGTAGTGCCACATTTATCATTTTCATTACTTCCTTTTTGTTGTAGTCAGATCCTAATCTCGGGTCAACTAATTCTAACAAACTTCCTTTCTCCTTCAAATCAAGAGCCTGCAAACATGAAGAATATTGCTTTCTTGAGGTTCAAGTCTCAACAAAATGAATATTGTAGTGGAATGAAGAATGAGGATTTTGGTACCCAATCAATAAGATAAAAGCAATTTTCTTTTGTTTTGCTAATTGTGTTGCTTCTTCCACTAACAATTTCCAAGGCCACGATTCCAAAACTATAAACATCTGCTTTGTCAGTTAGGTAACCCCTGGTTGCATACTCTGGAGCCATGTAGCCCCTGTAAATACAAAAAATTCATTTTCCTAGATAGGTAATCAAATAATTAAGTTATCATATAAAAGTTAAAATATCTATACTTATCATCAATTATACTCAAGAACCGGAGGAAGTGATACGTACATAGTTCCAGCAATGCGAGTATTAATATGGGTATTATCCTCTTCATTAAGCTTGGCCAGACCAAAGTCAGATATTTTTGGATTTAGATCCTTATCAAGTAATACATTGGTAGCCTTGATATCTCGGTGCACAATCTTTAACCTTGATTCTTCATGGAGATAAGTTAAACCTTTTGCTATACCAATGCATATCTTTTGTCTCGTGGACCAATCTAATTTCAATTGGCATTCTTCTGGGCATAAGAAATACAAATTAAAGAAAAGGTTAACATGCATCTATTTTCATCAATTCCATCTTTTAAACTACAAAGTGCATTTAGAAATCTACCAAACAATGCACGAGCGAGGTTGTTGTTCTCCATGTACTCATATATTAGCAAGAGTTGATTTCCTTCAATACAACATCCATATAGCTTTACCAAATGAGGGTGTTGAAGAGCAGAAATCATGCCAATTTCATTAACAAACTCCCGATTTCCTTGGTTTGATTTGGCTGATAGCTGCTTAACAGCAATAACCTTACCATCAGTTAAATGGCCCTGCATTTAAGAAATACCATGAGCTTCAAATAAGTTTTCTATAGGATTAAAGAAAAAAAAAATTTAGTACATGATACCTTATAAACTGGACCAAAACCACCTTCTCCAATCTTATTAGCAGGATCAAAGTTGTTGGTAGCTGCTTTAATCTGCCTTAAACTAAAAGAAACTGTCTGCAAGTTCAAACCTTTTAAATCTGTAAAGGAGCAAGATAGTAGAATCATTTAGAAGGTAGTTGCTAAACTCTCTTGATTCCAAGTATCTTGAATTAATTTTAATTGGGTATTTATCATGTCTACATCCCATCCAAAGTGAAAGAGGAAGGACAATAATTTTCTAAGAAGTTTTTGCATCACCAAATTCATTTCAGAAGTACAGAGAAAGCCAATAGTGTAATTCAATGCTAATTTTCATATGGTACCTTGTTCCAACGTGTTTTTTTGTCTTGAATAGAATTTCCACCAAAGGACACTCATGATCAAAAGGATAACAAATGTTGGTCCAACCAGAATTTCGAGCACCATGCGCACAGATACATGTTTTGGAGGCGAAAAATCTGAAAAGGCATTACTTTGACATACTGAATCTTAAAGTAAGAAAACATGGAACACAATTTGACTCCTAAGTTTACTGAATGCATGATGTAAATGTCAATACAACAAACTTGTATGTCAAGTAAAAAAAGAAATAGATATAAGAAGGAATTTGAAATATTATATAATTTACCAGAATTGACAGATATAGCTGATATAAGAGGACCATAAACTCCTCTATCAGGAATGGTTGTTGTTCCTTTTCCTGCCCAATATAAACGAATCTCCAAGGTACCATTGGTCACAATTGCAGGAAAAGTTTTTATGACAGCCTTACCAACCCCACCAGCTTCATCTACTATGTTGAAATCCTTCTGCACCAGCTTACCCTACAGTTATGTATTCACATTACTGAACATTCCATGCAAGCATATGTTAATTTTTTTCCCCCTTTCCCTAATTTCAACTAAACAACAAAATGTAAAAAGTTTTGGAGTCATGATTAATCTTAGCTACCTGAATGTAAATATTGAATATACGCCTCCCTAATCTGCTATATTCCCCAAACATTATTTCTGCAAAATGAAGATTTACTGCGTATCTCCCTTCACCCATACAAAATCCATAATAAGTCAAAGAGATGGCCGAAAGGCGCGCATTCGTATACAGTTGGTAATCTTTCATAGAGAGATTAGATTGGCTTGTGAAGATAAAGCTACGCCTAGTTTGGTTTACATCCAAGAATTGACCAGTGTTGCTAAATGCCCAATCTTCACTACTTTCAAAAGAGCTAGATGGTCCTGCTCGATCTGTATCAACTTCATATGTGGTTCCATTTATAGTTACTTCATTTCCTCCACAATTAATATGGAGATGATACCTTTCTGAAACATAAAGCAAACAACTTACTAACTATTGAAGAAAAATAAAAAGAAAATCAAATGTTCACAAGTAATTGGTAAAGTGCTGACAAACTTCACAAGTTTGAGAATTTTAAAGAAAGAATGAGGAACTTTCAAAGGGAAAGGAAGATTGATACACATAATGCAATATATGTGCAACCACACTAAAATACAGTCAATCCAATCTTTTTATCATAAAGCAAAGTGAGAACAGCCTTTTTAATCATGTTTCCAGGAAACCTCTTCTTTTATTTAGATTCCCATAGAAAGATTGTTATTTCCAAGTTTCTGTAACTTATTATACAAAATATTATTTATTTTAGAAAAATTATCAACTTTATCACAACCTATATAGAAAGAAAAAGAAATACTTGAACTATGGGCGTTGAAATTTACAAGCACAATGATGAAAGTATACACTATTGCGTATTGGACGCATAACCCTTTGCTTCCCCACTCTCACAAAGTCACAATCCCTTGATGTTGAAATGACAAACAAAATTCAAGACCTATGAAGATATACTATTCTAGCTTACTTTTTTTAAAAATGTGGTAGAAGACATATCATGCAAACTTACTTTTTTGACATTTAGAGCTTTTCAAGCATGAAACAATCCCTCTGGTATATAAAATACAAGGTCCAGAAAATGTTAGCATCATGACAACAAAATGAATTTGTTTTAGTATAACAAAATCTTTACAAGACATGTTTTGGAGAAGGGAGTTAAAAACTTACGACTTGTCAATCCCTGAAGAGCTTGCAAACAAATTCCTATGAGAAAACAAGAGCAGTAAAGATTAGTTAGCATACTAAGTTCTAACGGCCAAAAATAAACAAACTTAGATGTAAGGTCCTTACACATAATTTTCCTGACAACTTAATGCCCCTTGGGGTCCATTTATAAAATTGTTATACGAAATATCACTGAAACAATTATAAACAGAAGATTGGTTAGTGATAATTCATCAATTCTTAACATGTTTATTTAAACTATACTTGAATATATAGTTTGACTTGACTAAAGGCATGTAGTCTTGTTAAGATCATCTATATTCTATACAAATTGTATAGAAAAAAAAAAGAGTTGATAACCATTCATAGATAAAGAGATATTATACAGGTTACTTTCAGTGTGTAACAAGGCATTAGGCATAGATATTTCAGTATCAAACTTCTTAATTAAAAACGAAAAGATGTCAGCGAACTTTGTTAGAATGAAAGGAAATTCAATAAAATATTAGAAACAAATACTTACATGTTCTTTTGGCTTTGCAATATCCAAGGAGGAATGCTCCCAGTGAGCAAGTTTCCAGTCAAATAACTACAATGAGAGGAAAAAAACTGATATAATTACATGTTTAACATAAAGAATTCATTTGGAAGATAGAAAATTTATCGTTGTTACTACATAATCTAATTCAGGCATAATGAAACAAAAGACTTGAAATCTATGACACTCTTTCTAATCAATTATAGACAATGTACTTACAGGTAAGTAACATCCACAAGATTAGAAAAGTTGCTTGGAATTTCTCCACTAAGTCTATTAAAGCTAAGATCTCTACACAAAAAATACAAAGGAAGGAGATTAAATCAATAGTTCCATTGTACTTAGAAAGATAAGAGAAACCAATTTTACACTCACAAAGTCACCAAAGATGTCATATTGCCCAAATAATCAGGTAGCTCTCCACCAATATTGCAACTCCGCAGAATCCTGTAATTAACATACCGATAGGAATTTATTTAACATATATGTTGGAAAAAGACCACTCCCTTAGTTAATTAAAATGTGCCTCATTGTAGAATTATACTCACAGTGTCCTCATATTTGGCATTCTATTAAGTAGTGGAAACTTTTCTTCATCAATTCCATTTAAATCACTAATTCTCCTGAATATTGACAATGTTCAACAAAGGGTAAACGAAACAAAATAATCACAATATCCCAATTCACATAATTGAAATAATATAAAATCTAGAGTTCATACTTACAAGTTGTTTAGCTTTGTTAATACAGTTATGTTAGAAGGAATTGGCCCCATTAAGCCACTTGCTTGAATTACTCTAACATTATCAAACATTTCATTTGGGTAAGAGAAATCATGAAACACCAATTCATATGTCATAATTATACACTCAAATGGATATCCTAAATGACAATGATTAAAACACTCACAACTTCGTAAGATTTGTCCAGTTCTGGATGAAACTAGGTATCTTTCCTGTGAATTGGTTGTCACCAATCCGACTACATCATTTCAAAAATAGTCAAAATGATCACAAACTACACAATTCTACAAACTAAACCTTAAAAATTAACATAAAATCAAAATCTTACAAGTCTTCCAAAGAGGTTAGCCTAGCAAAGTCTGTTGGCAATTCTCCAATAAAGTTGTTGGAGGTTAGATGACTGCAATATTAGCAACAACAATGTCAACAGTGCAATTTTATATGAACAAAATGATACCACAAACACAAGAGAAGGAACTATCTTACAAGTGCTTAATGAGAGTTACGTTTCCAAGCTCTGGAGGCAAAAGTCCTGATAATTGATTAAACTCCACAGTGCTACATAATTTTCATATATAAAAAATAGATTCATCAAATTTAAATATCCATGAACAAATCATAATAAGAACAAAAATTCATTGAAGAAAACTCACAAATATTGAAGAGTGCTTATGTTCCCTATCTCTTTTGGGATCGAACCTGTTAAGTGATTTGCATCTAGGGAACTACAACATTAACATTAATATATAAACAAATGAGCATATGGTATAGAAAATACAGTTTTTTTACATCAGATGATTAAAAATGTTCTATCAACTTTACATTTGGCATACATAGTCAAAATGAATAGAACAATTAATCCAAATTTGTTGTTTTTCAAAATAATAACTATATTGAAAACTAAGTATATAAAAATCCTTAGTCCTAACTATATATATGTATATTCTGTAGTTATGACAATATCATGTAGAACTTAACATGCATGTGAGGAAGCTTACATTTTAACAAGCTGCATGGAACCCCATTCTGCAGGGATTGTGCCACTAAGGTAGTTGAGAGAGAGGTCACTATAAAAGAGTTAAGAGTAGATGAATTAGGCAAGAGAAAAGTGAAAATTAGAAAATATAACATGAATCTTCTTTGAGAGTATTTTAGTCTTATTATTATCTGCATTTTAATTGCCCTGATTTTCCTCAATCTCATTAATTAAAAAAAGTAGAAAAAGGAAATATAAAATAGGTAATTAATGGAGAAGATAGGGGCAAATTGAAATTGATTACGAAAATGTTTGGTAAAAGCACTTACATTGTTTGAAGGTAAGGAAGCTTGACCAACGTTGGTGGGAGAGTGCCTAGGAGATTCTGATTCTTCAGCACTCTGTTTCAACATTTATAAAAAAAAGAGGAGAATTTTGGCCAGATATTTAGAAAACCAAATCTATTGGAATTCGGTCAGTTTATATATTTGTTTTAAATTTTGCTTCTGGATCCAGCTCATTAGAACCATGCATGGTTCAGTCTTCTAGTTCTACTACAATGATTGAGCCCACTTGTTTTGCTCAACTCTTAGTCATTTAAAACACCTACCTAATTGGATATAAATAACGCGTAGTGAATGTATACTAGGTAGCAGAAACAAGGGGAATTTTCGAGAAAGGAAGAAATATTATAACCGGCTTTGGAGGGACTTGAACTTTAACATGGGACAAAGTTTTTGCTAAATGGAACCAGCCCAGCTGGGGCTGCGAGTGGGTTGATTTTATCATCTTAATAATTTGATGAAAGTAGCTTTATAA